ATGTCTAGTGAGTATGCATATTTTCAGATCCCAGGAATTGTGTACAGATCCTTGCGACATGGGGCCATGCATTATCATGCTGAAACATGAGGTGATGGCGGTGGATGAATGGCACAACAATGGGCCTCAGGATCTCATCACAGTATCTCTGTACATTCAAATTGCCATTGATAAAATTCAATTGTGTTCGTTGTCCATAGCTTATGCCTGCCCATACCATAACCCCACCGCCACCATGGGGCACTCTGTTCACAACATTGACATCAGAAAACTACTTGCCCATACGCCATACACGCTGTCTGCCATCTGCTCGGTACAGTTGAAGCCGAGATTAATCTGTGAAGAGCACACTTCTCCAGCGTGCCAGTGGCCATCGAAGGTGAGCATTTGCCGACTGAAGTCAGTTACGACGCCGAACTGCAGTCAGGTCAAGACCCTGGTGAGGATGACGAGCACGCAGATGAGCTTCCCAGAGATGGTTTCTGACAGTTTGTGTACAAATTTTTCGGATGTGCATATCCACAGTTTCATTACCTGTCCGGGTGGCTGGTCTCAGACCATCCCGCAGGTGAAGAAGCCAGATACGGAGGTCCTGGGCTGGCGTGGTTACACGTGGTGTGCAGATGTTAGGCCGGTTGGATGTAATGCCAAATTTTCTAAAATGACGTTGGAGGCGGCTTATGGTAAAGAAATGAACATTCAATTCTCTGGCAACAGCTCTGGTGGACATTCTTGCAGTCAGCATGCCAATTGCACACTCCCTCAAAACTTGAGACACTTGTGGCATTGTGTTGTGTGACAAAACTGCACCTGTGTAATGATCATGCTGTTTAATCAGCTTCTTGATATGCCACACCTGTCAGGTGGATGGATTATCTTGGCAAAGGAGAAATCCTCACTGACAGGGATATAAAGAAAATTTGAGAGAAATAAGCTTTTTGTGCATATGGAACATTTTGGGGATTTTTTTATTTCAGCTCCTGAAACATGGAACCAACACTTTACATGTTGCGTTTATATACTGAGTACACAAAATATTAGGAAGAACTGCACTTTCCATGACATAGACTGACCAGGTGAATCCAGGTGAAACCAATGATGAAGTGCCTTTGAACAGGGTATGGTAGTAGGTGCCAGACGCACTGGTTTGTATCAAGAACTGCAACATGCTGGGTTTTTCAAGTTTCCCGTGTGAATCAAGAATGGGACCACCACCAAAGAACATCCCAGCCACTTGACACAACTTTGGGGAAAAACATTGGAGGGCGGCAACATGGTCACAATTGTGGGAAGCATTGGAGTCAACATGGGCCAGCATCCCTGTGGAACACTTTTGACACCTTGTAGAGTCCATGCCCTGACGAATTGAGGCTGTTCTGAGGGCAAAAGGGGGTGCAACTCAATATTAGGAAGGTGTTCCTAATGTTTGGTATACTCAGTGTATTTTTGTTCAGTGTAAATGAGAGTGACACATTCTTCTCTACATTTACTGTGCACTCCATTGCCAGTGAATACTGAACAAGAGTGTGGTACTTCAGATTGATGAATTTGTTCTAATTATAGCTGCTCCTCCTATTACATATAACATCAACCTTGAGATGAAAAGCCCACTCACACTAAACATTCACATACAGACAGCTACAAAATAATGTGTAATACACTTCCTTCATGAAATATATAATGTGTCTTATAATTAATGTATCAATTTGAGTAATTAACTTGGCATACAAGGTTTTTATGATTGAAAAGTGACTAAACATTTTAATATGAATCTTGATGAATTGTTATATTGTGTCTTGGTCTCATCCATCAGATGCCTGTGAGCTCACACTGGACCCAAACACAGCAAACAGAGAGCTCTCTCTGTCTGAGGGGAACAGAAAAGTGACACATCTGAGAGAAGATCAGCCGTATGCTGAATACCCAGCTGTTCCTAGCTGTTCAAAGGTCTGTCTGGGAGTTGTTAAATAAAATAAAATAAAATGTATTGGTGGCGTACACAGATTTGCAGATGTTATCGCAGGTGCAACGAAATGCTTGTGTGTCTAGCTCCAACAGTGCAGTAATACCAATAGATAAAATAAAATAATACTCACATAAAATAATATATATATATATATATGAAGAAATATCAGAACGAGCAATGTCAGAGACCGGAATATAGATATGTATGTGTATATAATGGTGTGTAAAGACAGTATGGACAGTATATTAGTAGAAAAGGTGTGTACAGCAGTAGTTATATAGGATGAGCCATGACTAGAATTAAGTATATACAGTTGAAGTCGGAAGTTTACATACACTTAGGTTGGAGACACGTTCATCTGTACAAACAATAGTATGCAAGTATAAACACCATGGGACCACGCAGCCGTCATACCGCTCAGAAAGGAGACGCGTTCTGTCTCCTAGAGATGAACGTAGTTTGGTGCGAAAAGTGCAAATCAATCCCAGAACAACAGCAAAGGACCTTGTGAAGATGCTGGAGGAAACCGGTACAAAAGTATCTATATCCACAGTAAAACAAGTCCTATATCGACATAACCTGAAAGGCCGCTCAGCAAGGAAGAAGCCACTGCTCCAAAACCGCTATAAAAAAGCCAGATTACGGTTTGCAACTGCACATGGGGACAAAGATCGTACTTTTTGGAGAAATGTCCTCTGGTCTGATGAAACAAAAATAGAACTATTTGGCCATAATGACCATCGTTATGTTTGGAGGAAAAAGGGGGACGCTTGCAAGCCGAAGAACACCATCCCAACCGTGAAGCACGGGGGTGGCAGCATCATGCTGTGGGGGTGCTTGCTGCAGGAGGGACTGGTGCACTTCACAAAATAGATGGCATCACGAGGAAGGAAAATTATGTGGATATATTGAAGCAACATCTCAAGACATCAGTCAGGAAGTTAAAGCTTGGTCGCAAATGGTCTTCCAAATGGACAATGACCCCAAGCATACTTCCAAAGTTGTGGCAAAATGGCTTAAGGACAACAAAGTCAAGGTATTGGAGTGTCCATCACAAAGCCCTGACCTCAATCCTATAGAAAATGTGTGGGCAGAACTGAAAAGGCGTGTGCGAGCAAGGAGGCCTTCAAACCTGACTCAGTTACACCAGCTCTGTCAGGAGGAATGGTCCAAAATTAACCCAACTTATTGTGGGAAGCTTGTCGAAGGCTACTCAAAACGTTTGACCCAAGTTAAACAATTCAAAGGCAATGCTACCAAATACTAATTGAGTGTATGTAAACTTCTGACCCACTGGAATGTGATTAAATAAATAAAAGCTGAAATAAATAATTATCTCTATTATTCTGACATTTCACATTCTTAAAATAAAGTGGTGATCCTAACTGACCTAAGACAGGGAATTTTTACTAGGATTAAATGTCAGGAATTGTGAAAAACTGAGTTTAAATGTATTTGGCTAAGGTGTATGTAAACTTCTGACTTCAACTGTACATATAAAGTGGGTAAAACATTATTAAAGTGACCAGTGTTCAATGACTCAATGTACATAGGACAGCAGTCTCTACGGTGCAGGGTATAGTATGGGGTGTTTGCCAGGTAGAACAGTGACTAAGGTTCACGGCAGGGTACTTGGCGGAGGCCGGCTAGTAGTGACTGTTTAACAGTCTGATGGCCTGGAGACAGAATCTGTCTCTCGGTCCCAGCTTTTATGCACCTGCACTGTCTCCGCCTTCTAGATGGTAGATCTTCTTGGCCTTCCTGTGACACCGGATGCTGTAAATGTTACTGGGAGGTAGAGTGGTGTGGAGATAGGGCTGAGATAGGAGTGGCATATAAAGGAATCAGCAGGAGAGGAAGTGGTAATGACTGTTTGCTTGGATACCATGACAAGTCCTGGTGTCTGGAATGCCCTGATGACAGATATTTTGCCTGGCACAATCAGTAGGACACTGACATATCTGTCACCTCCTCAGGCTCCCACAGAGTAAGAGTGTATCTGGAATGGCCAGCAGGCACTCTGTCCTTCTACAGAGTCTCATCTGACACTGACCTACCTGCACACATTCCACACCACATTCACTGAGCCTCTCTATCCAGGATTTAAGGTTTCGGATGGCACCTCAGTCTCTCTGTGTCAGGTAAAATAGCATCATGTGTCCTGAAGGAACCCCCTGAATCTTCAGGGAAGTCACACTCCTGTTTAAACACAACTTGATGACATGATGGCATATGTTTTAATCATAACAACCCCCTGCCCCCCACTTATTGAGTAAACAGATTAGTATTCATGAATATACACTGAGTGTACAAAACATCAGGATAACATAGACTGACCAGGTGATTCCAGGTGTAATGCTATGATCCCTTATTGATGTCACTTGTTAAATCCATTATACTCAGGGTAGATGAAGGGGAGGAGACATGTTAAAGAAGGATTTTTAAGCCTTGAGACATGGATTGTGTATGTGTGCCATTGAGGACAAAATATTTAAGTACCTTTGAACAGGGTATGGTAGTAGGTGCCAGGCACACAGGTTTAGTGTGTCAAGAACTGCAACGCTGCTGGGTTTTTCACGCCCAACAGTTTCCTGTGTGTATCAAGAATGGTCCACCCCCCAAAGGACATCCAGCCAACTTGACACAATTGTGGGAAGCATTGGAGTCAAAATGGGCCAGCATCCCTGTGGAACACTTTTGACACCTTGTAGTGTCCATGCCCTGACAAATTGAGGCTGTTCTGAGGGCAAAAGGGGCTCCAAGTCAATATTAGGAAGGTGTTTAAAATGTTTTGTACACTCAGTGTACAGTATACCACTAAAGTTGACAGACCTTGTAAACTAAAGTCATTAATCAATAGAATGAATCACTACACTGGCCTGTAGAACCTTCTCATTTAGAAGTCATTGATCTTGCTTTTGTTTTTCCTTGGTGCTTGTATATATTGCTGTCTGTAGAATGTTTATTTATCAAATTGTTGACACAAAAATCTTGCTTTTGTATGAACTCAATTACACTGAATGGAATTTACATGTCACAGATTTGACTAATGAAGGTTAATAAAACATGAAATAAAATATGTTTTAAATGTTTATTTTACAGTAGTGTGGGTTGTGTTCGGTACGTACAAATGTTTTATTTGGTTGATATAAATATAACCCCAGCCAAGTTGTTTAGGTGTAACTGAGTATGTGGAGCAGATGGGAATGGTACCTGATGATGATAAATGGAATTCTGGAGGTGGGATGCTGATACCATTCTCTCATCTTTCAGCAGCAGTGAATTGATCATGTATGTTGAAGGCATGTTATTACACCTGAGTACATTTTTCATAAATAATGGTGGTTGTTGTCTGGAAAAAAGGAGGCTTTCAAAAATTCACACACATCCATGCTATTAACAGATTCACCAGCAGATGATACTGTGCACATGTGAATCGTTCTGTTTTTTTTCCCCCTCTATGATGTTGAGAGAACAGGACAATGGGTGCATCTCAATAACCTAAAGTGGCTTCCTCTCCTTATCTCCTTTACTTAATATTTACTCAACTGAAAACACTAGATAAGTCAAAATAATATGGTGGCTGGCTGCCTACTGGTACATTGCTTTCACCTATCCAGTTCTCCCATGTTAGTTGAGATGAAGGAAAGTAGACCCCATGAGAGGTTGGATATCTTTGAGTTGTTACTGTTTAGTTCTGCATGCTTGATGTTGTTGGGAAGATGTTGTAAGGCTGTCATTTCTACACTAACAAAGTTGAGTGGTTTCCAGACAGTCTGGGGCAACAGCAGCGCCAGAGTCTTACCACCTCTGCTTTGGTTGTAGGAGACCACATGTCAATCCTTTGAGGGTGGGAGAGAGACCACATGTCAATCCTTTGAGGGTGGGAGAGAGACCACATGTCAATCCTTTGAGGGTGGGAGAGAGACCACATGTCAATCCTTTGAGGGTGGGAGAGAGACCACATGTCAATCCTTTGAGGGTGGGAGAGAGACCACATGTCAATCCTTTGAGGGTGGGAGAGAGGGAAAGAGTGAAGGAGGGAGGTGTAGAGAAAGAAGGAAGGAACACACCGCATCACAGCCCTGGACTGAAATGTCATGTGTTCTGCAGTCTTCCCTGATTCTCTCACTTGCTCTCCAGTGTGTGGGCGCAGGATGAAGGGATGAGGTGCCTTCTATTTTTTGCACCCCCCCATTTTATCCCCCTCTGTCTGAATCATGCTTCTGAGAAAAAGCAGGTTAAGAAAAAGGTTCAATACTTCTATACTAAATGAATGGCCTGTGCTCAAGTTGACCTCATGGATTGTGTGCATAAACGAACAATGACAGGATTATAACTGTTTGAACACTTTTTGGAAAATATATTTTATTTCGAACTCAACAGGTCCATAGAGGCTTAGGCACCTTGAACCAAAAAAAGATTAATGAGAAAAAAGGAGCATACATTATTTAAAGACATCGACAAATAAAAACATACCTGATAACAAAATGGAACTGCATTCCACTGCATGTACAGCACAAAGATTCCTAGAGTTACATTCACTGCACAGAACTTTACTAAATGTTTTTAGTCCATCTCTACCAGGATGGTAGACATTTGAAATAGCGTATAGAATCTTTAAAACAGGTACTCTGCATCCACCTGAACACATCCTGTCCCCCTCTCAGATAGATGGTGAACATAACCTAACAAGGTCAGTCAGGGGGGAGAATCATGATAAGCATGGACAACACCGTTGGTCTGAGGTGTGTTCTCAACCCCAGAGAGGTGTTCAACAGCGTTAACCAGTCTCTCCAGGTTGTTGTTGATGGATGACAGCAGGGGCTGCAGCACTCTCTCCATGCTGCTCCTCATACTGACCAGATCCCTCTGTAACATGTCGTAACCTTGGCGATGCACCTGGACCAGTGCTGCCAGGTCCTGAGGAGGTAGCTGGACCTGCATGTGTGGTTGGACCTCAATCAAAGGGATGTGGACCGTAGCTTGGTTCACTTGGGGTATGTTAGTCTGAGGCTGCACATTTGCCTGGGACATATAGGCCTGTGATTGGTTTGCTTGGGGTGTATAGGCCTGTGATAGGTAGGCTTGGGGTATATAGGCCTGTGATTGGTTAGCTTGGGGTGTATAGGCCTGTGATAGGTTGGCTTGGGGTAGAGTAGCCTGCTGTGGCAGTTGCACTACTTGGGGTATGTTTACGTGGAATGGAGCATTACCTTGGGGAAATCCATCAGCCTGGGGTTGAACAGTGACTGGCCGTGTATTGGTTTGGGGTTGTAGGGTGCCCTGAGACTGAGGGATGTGGACGGTTCCAGTCACTTGAGGTGTACTGACCTGGGTACCAGTTTCAAGGTTCAATCTGACTATGTTCACCCGGGGTTGGAGGTTGGTTTGGGGTAAAGAGGGCCTGGGTGAAGTGACAGGCGTGGGTGTCTGGGGTGGATGGACTCTGCTGGCCTCAGACGATGTTGCAGCGTCCAGAGTCTGGTTAGTCGAGGGACTGTCCAGCTCCACCCAAAGGTATTGGGAACCAACTTCGTTCTGAAACTCTAGGGAAGAAAAAATATAGAAAAATAAGCCATATTTAGTGTTCCTTACATTGTTTTATCAAATTACATCACGTAGTAGGCACACACACGTTACAAAGATAAGAAAACAATTGTTTTTTAAAAATTGAAACCATAAACGTTACCTTCTAATGCAATGGGTCCTTCTCCATCCACAAACTCACATTTAAAACTTTCTGTTTTGACTGAGAGGAAAGGCTCCTCCTCTTCTGTTGGATGGTGAAGTTTTGCTTCTGTTGGATGGTGAAGTTTTGCTTCCGTCTGCCTGGTCACTCGGTTCCTCTTTGCCCTTGGACCCTTCTTCATATAACAGGGTTGTCTGCGCATCAGGTCATTGTATCGCTTTTTGCATTGCATTCCGGTTCTGAGGCATCCAAACGAAGAAGCGCTCACCTTTGCTGCGATATCTTCCCACGCGGCCTGCGCAACACGGGTGTAGCCAGGGCAAGGTCGTCGAGCTTGCACTTCACGCACCAGTATTTGGAGCTCTTCTTCATTGAAACGCTGCTTTCGTTGCCTCTCCATGTGAAGCATCTCGATCTCTGGCCTCCCATCTCTCTTATCGTCATCGGAATCCATATTTTCTCAGGGCAAAGCCATAAATGAAGCGCAAACACTAACACTGACACTGACGGAAAGACACAATAGTGTTCTGAATGTTTACATAGCCTAGCCTACTCATCTCAAGGCTGCAACTTATTAACAACACAATTACAAAACAGCAACGGTTAGTACGGTTACGGAAAACCTTAATATGGATAGCAAATCCAAAGGATAGCGGATCCAGTTGAAGCGTTCCCAAACAATCTGGGCTACCATTTGCAGCCACAAAATCCAATACGCTTGCGCAGTTGATACCCGCCGTGCGCAGTATATTATCCTCCCTTTGTTGGGAAAAATGTGCCCCCAAAAAAACGCCTCTTCAAAACAGTTTAACAATCACCACAATATTGAATTATTAGATTCTTGACATTAGATCTATAGATAAATCGTTATAATGTTAGATTGTCTTGTTGAGTAAGTGATAGGTTATTTTTATGATACTGTGGTTCACATCATATTTACCCCCAAAACATTTATTTAGAAACAGATTGATTGATTTCATCATTAAATCATGGTCTGCACATGGCCTTCCAAAACAATAAGCAATTCTCTACAGATTTACAAACGTCACCCTACACACACACACACACACACACTTCTCCTTCTGAAAAGTGAAAGCATAGTCTATTGTCTAGTAGGCTAGTTAGTTGTAGGCTTTTATAGGCTACAGTAAAACCAGTCTGAATGCATTTGACCACAGGAAAACGCTACTGTGTGAATACAGCGATACAGGTTTGATTGAATTGAACAATATAGACTACATTTAACCACTCGTATGAAAGCAGTCTAATAAATACATGCAACAATGAATACATCATACAGTCGATAGCATACCATAGTTAATGTTTTTGGGTTGATTTTTTTTTTTTTTACTTGAACTAATTGTTATTGTAGGACATTGTATTGTTTTGACAGAAGTAAACAGTCGTCAACATAGCAAGAATCCAGCAAACTTCACAAAGGATGTAGTCCTGTGGAATCAGTGTATGAGGGTCCATTCAGTCTGTGTTGGAGAGGCACTGTGATGGGAGTGACAGTCTGTAGTAGTGACTCCCCAGGACCTGCCAGCCTTTCAACAGCACTAGCAAGTCTCTCCAGGCTGTGGCTGATGGAAGACAACACAGGATGCAGCATTTCCTCCATACTGTTTTTAGTGTCCGTGATCTCCTTGTGTAGCATGGTGTAGCCCGCCTGATGCACCTGGCAGAGGACTGTGAAATCCTGGGAAGCGGGCTGGACGTGGATGAGGGGCTGGAAGTTTATCAGAGGGATGTGAGCTCTGAGGAGCTGTCCCTGACCCAGTCCCTGACCCTGAGATTGGTTCATCTGAGGTGAGCTGACCTGAGGGGCTTGGAATGAAGAGGCCTGGGTTGGATCAGGTTGGGGAACATGTTGTGGTGTTCCAGCCTGGAATGAACCAGCCATCTCTGCTTTGATATTAAGGCCATCTCCTATTTGATGCTCTGGAAGAGAAAAAAACTAACCATGATGTATAATTTAATCCCCCAATCTCATAATATCTCACCCATTTACACTCAACCAGCATGGTACAAACTCAATCAACATCAATTTAAATAAAGTAGTTTGCTTGCACACAATATTACTTTATAAATGTGGAAAATGGAGCCAACATATTAAGTAATCAACAAATATCTACACATTGTTTTCCCATTTATAGCCTGCAATTCCTAGTATAGAAAATGATAGGCCTAATTTGCCCAAATGTAATCATTACTGTACTCTACCTGCATGCTCAATTTTAATTGAGGAAGTAGAGTCATTGTCTGTAAGATTACAGACTGGTTTTGGCAATCTGTTTTCAAATATTCTTATTCCTTGTCTCCGTTTAAGATCATTAATTCGCTTCCTGCACTGGTTGGCTGTTTTCCGAAGCCCAACGGTAGTGGAGCTCACTCGCTCTGCTACTTGCTCCCAGGCTGACCGAGCATTGGAAACTCTGAACGTTTTTGTCGGTGTACCATAAATAGAAAATCGCCGTGCATGGACTTCACGCAATAATATTCTTGTTTGCTCCCGCGTAAAACGACTTCGAGTCGCCGCCGTCAACATTTTAGAGCCTGCACACGGTTTCATAACATAAACACAGACACAGAAATTCCGATTGCGCTTGTAGTAGGTGAGGGGCGTTTTTGCGTTGCGAAAGAGATAAATAGTAATGGCGTATTTTTGTAGGCACTAACTTCGCCATGGACAAAGCCTATGGAAAAAATGATTGGTTGTTTTTATAGGAAAAAATGAATGGGTTTTTTTTTATAGGATTTTGGGAAATCGCCAAATAATAAAGTCTGTGTAAACCTAGGTTTAGGAGATCTTATACGTTTTGTTCTATGAGATAATCTTCATTGAATAATTTATGTTATTTAAAAAAACACATAATGAATTCATAATTCACCAAGGTCATGTTAACTGACTGCTAAGATCTCCTAAACCTGTGTTAACCTCAGACCTTTTTTTCGGCGTTTATTCCAAAACACTATTCATTCCTTCTCCCCAAAGGGATGGCTGAATGAACCAGAGGTAACTCAGTTCTGGGTTTTAAGACTACGAGCTGGCGCGCTCTATTGACACGCAGATGCACGCAGTAGTGCCTTCACGCACAGAGGGTGAATTGTGGGGTGTATTCAGAAAGCCCAATGTTTTTATACGTTTCAAATGTTTTGCATCGCAATGAAAGTCCACTTTTGTCCCATGTGTTGGCTATGCAATCTGTATTTTCAATGTCAAAACGAACCTATTTATTTACACAGTAAATTCAGTAGATATGCCTATATGCCTCCAATAATGTAACAACAAAAAAACACACCCTGTAAATTGACCCTCATCTTCTGGTGATATTCTGTCTCAGGGTCTAGTAGAAACCCCCCAACCCAAGAAAATATGACTACATGGGTGAGACTTTTACTTATGGTCAGCTATAAAGCTGGAGCTTCTACATTGTTGCATTTGGGATTATCTCTCAATTCAATTCAATTTCAATTTAAGGGCTTTATTGGCATGGGAAACGTATGTTAACATTGCCAAAGCAAGTGAAGTAGATAGTAAACCAAAGTGAAATAAACAATAAATATTAACAGTAAACATTACACTCAGAAGTTTTCAAATGAATAAAGACATTTCAAATGTCATATTATGTATATATACAGTGTTGTAACAATGTGCAAATAGTTATAGTACAAATGGGAAAATAAATAAACATAAATATGGGTTGTATTTACAATGGTGTTTGTTCTTCACTGGTTGCCCTTTTCTTGTGGCAACAGGTCACAAATCTTGCAGCTGTGATGGCACACTGTGGTTTTTCACCCAGTAGATAAGGGAGTTTATCAAAATTGGGTTTGTTTTCAAATTCTTTGTGGATCGCTGTAATCTGAGGGAAATATGTGTCTCTAATATGGTCATACATTTGGCAGAAGGTTAGGAAGTGCAGCTCAGTTTCCACCTCATTTTGTGGGCAGTGTGCACATAGCCTGTTCTCTCTCTCTCTCTCTCTCCTCTCTCTCTCTCTCTCTCTCTCTCTCTCCTCTCTCTCTCTCTCTCTCTCTCTCTCTCTCTCTCTCTCTCTCTCTCTCTCTCGTCTCTCTCTCTCTCTCTCTCTCTCTCTCTCTCTCTCTCTCTCTCTCTCTCTCTCTCTCTCTCTCTCTCTCTCTCTGCCTTCATGCCTCTGTATTTGTTCTCTAGACCAGAGAATATGTAACCCGTTATACATCAAAACAGGCCACACCCAAAAACCACACACCTAAGGAAACAGCCTGTGGGACAGCACAATCCAGTCACCATGGCTACCCACCTCCCTCCATTTTGGGATCTTTTTTCCTGAATATGTTTAAAGATTTATTCTGTCTGGGATCCTTAGCAAACAATAGTCAGGGGTGTTGACTGAATTGTGTTGCTGTCTACAGGTCATGGAAAGGAACAGACATGGAGGTGTAGTCAGTGGCATAAAGGCTGACTGTATAGAACATAATGATGACTAGGCTGTGGGGCCGCACCGATGGGAGTGTTTGTTGTTGTTCCCTGTGGTAAGGTTGTCTTGTTTTCTCTGGAAGAACAGCAGACCAGAGCATAGAATCAATGTAGTAGAACAGACACTCCTGTTTTTCCACAATTCAATATTTTTGGAACATAGAAAGGTCCTTTTTTCACGTCAAGGTTTTGGCATTGGTAGCTTTCCTCAAGAAAAGTATTTTGGAGAAATGAATAGACATCAGGGACAAAATGAAATGTACATACATTCTTTTAAATTATCTCGACCGGTACTGATTCCGTAAAATGCCATTATTTATGTTTTGTTCATTTTTTCTCATGACTTGTAGCTCACATTTGTGTAACTTCTGTATTTTCCCAAAAGCTTTTCAGAAACCCAAAATATTGCTAATCAAATGTGTAGTTTAGCAAATGACCTCCATGGGAGCAGAGATGTTCGTCTCTGTTCAGGACACACACACACTAAGGCAAGGTGAGCTCAGCGTGATTGACAGGTAGCTAGCATGTTCTGCTGTGGTGTGTGAATGATCAAGCAAGTTCCAGTCTGCTCAGCACATCTGCGGTTTGGTCGCGGTGTTGCAGGGTGTTTACAGCGTTTAGGAGGAAAACACAACGGAGGGAATGACGGGGCGAGGGCGTGTGTCGACACGCTCTGAGTATCTACCTCTTACTGTGGTAGACTGACTGGAGGGAATCTCCTACCAGAGTAGACATAAAGCGGCTTACAGTATGGACTCATAAACATTTTACATTTACATTTTAGTCATTTAGCAGACGCGCTTATCCAGAGCGACTTACAGTTAGTGAGTGCATACATTTATTTATTTATTTCATACTGGAATCGAACCCACAACCCTGGCGTTGCAAACGCCATGCTCTACCAACTGAGCTACATCCCTGCCGGCCATTCCCTCCCCTACCCTGGACGACGCTGGGCCAATTGTGCGCCGCCCCATGGGTCTCCCGGTCACGGCCGGCTACGACAGAGCCTGGATTCGAACCAGGATCTCTAGTGGCACAGCTAGCACTGCGATGATATGCAAGATGCAAGATGATATGGATGGAGGAGACTGAGACAACTGTGGAATAAGTAGAGACACAGGGACAAATGTTATGCGGGTGACACTGAGATGTTATGGGGGTGACACTGAGATGTTATGGGGGTGACACTGAGATGTTATGGGGTGACACTGAGATGTTATGGGGGTGACACTGAGATGTTATGGGGGTGACACTGAGATTAGGTGACGACTGAGACCTGGTGTATGGGGTGACACTGAGAGGGAGTTACACAGGAGACAGAGATGTATGGGGTGACACATGAGAGGGACGTTAACGAACACTGAGATGTTATGGGGTGACACTGAGAGGGACGTTACACAGGAGACACTGAATGTTATGGGGTGACACTGAGAGGGACGTTACACAGGAGACACTGAGATGTTATGGGGTGACACTGAGAGGGATGTTACACAGGACACTGAGATGTTATGGGGTGACACTGAGAGGGAGTTACACAGGAGACACTGAGATGTTATGGGGTGACACTGAGAGGGGACGTTACACAGGAGACACTGAGATGTTATGGGGTGACACTGAGAGGGACTTACACAGGAGACACTGAGATGTTATGGGGTGACACTGAGAGGGACGTTACACAGGAGACACTGAGTGTTATGGGGTGACATGAGAGGGACGTTACACAGGAGACACTGAGATGTTATGGGGTGACACTGAGAGGGACGTTACACAGGAGACACTGAGATGTTATGGGGTGACACTGAGAGGGACGTTACACAGGAGACACTGAGATGTTATGGGGTGACACTGAGAGGGACGTTACACAGGAGACACTGAGATGTTATGGGGTGACATGAGAGGGACGTTACACAGGAGACACTGAGATGTTATGGGGTGACACTGAGAGGGACGTTACACAGGAGACACTGAGATGTTATGGGTGACACTGAGAGGGAGTCGGAGTTTATACACTAGGTTAGGACATGAGATGTTATGGGGTGACACTGAGAGGGACGTTACACAGGAGAAATGTTATGGGGTGACACTGAGATGTTATGGGGTGACACTGAGATGTTATGGGGGTGACACTGAGAGGGACGTTACACAGGAGACATGAATGTTATGGGGTGACACTGAGAGGAGTACAGAGCGTTTATGGTGACATGAGATGTAGGGGCACTGAGATGTTATGGGGTGACACTGAGAGGGACGTTACACAGGAGACGAGATGTTATGGGGTGACACTGAGATGTTCAGCGGGTGACACTGAGATGGGTTACCAGAACATGAGTGTTGGGTGACACTGAGAGGGACGTTACACAGGAGACAGAGATGTTATGGGGGTGACACTGAGAGGGACGTTACACAGGAGACACTGAGATGTTATGGGGTGACACTGA